TATTGGCGACGTAAAAATGTGTAAAATAGCATTTGCATAAATTGTTATGAAATGTTTATCGGCAGCAGTTAAGATGTTAATTGTTCATAACCTTTCCACAGAATCTCACATGAAAGATCAGGACGATGGCTTTAAGCACCATCAGAGTCTGGGACTTCCTCTCTATCAACATGACCTTTTGCTCCAAAAGAATCCACCTCCGCTCCCTCCGTTTTATCTCCATCCTTCTGTCATCCCATCTTGCCCTACTGCCCCGGCGCCGAGCACAGGTTTTTTTTTTCTTCTCCTGCTCTGTGCAGCACACATATAGTGGCCGATTGTGTGAAAGGCACACAGACAATGTTTTTATTGAAGGCCTGCTCTTCCTCTCACTCTCGCTGCCCGGTCCTAGCGAGCTCAACAAATGCCGGGCTTGTCCTCAGCCCTGAAACGATCCCATCCCTGGGGGTCCTGGTTGACTCACACACACACACACAAACACACACACAAACTCTATGTACAGCTCCTGTTTCAGCTTTACATTTAACACTGCTGGGGAGACACACAGAGAGCGGGGCAAGAGGGAGGAAAAGAGGTGCAAAAAAAATGGGAAAGAGAGCAGATAAGAGGAGAGCATCAAATAAGAATGCGAGTGTGTACAAAAAAGTGGGGCAGCCATGAAAAGCTCAGCACAATGTTTGCAAAGAAGCACGTCAAAGTGAGAGCAGAAAGGTCCTCTTTGACCCCGGAGCGGGGAGGTCATGGAGCTCTCTTTAATGTATCATCCAGAGGGGACAGAGTTTTACTTACATAATGGTTTAAAGCCTGAGCCTGCAGGCGGAACTGAGGGGAGGTGGAGTCAGCGAGCTCAGAGGAGAAGCTCACGTTCGGGAACTCCACGCTGCCTCCGAGGAAGAACACTGAGCAAGGCGGCGCTGCGTGGCGGGGGGAGAGGAGAGATTTGAGACACTCTGGGACTTGGAGTAAAAAAAAAAAAAACACTTGAAAGGTACAGGAGAAGTCTGAGAGAAATCCAAAATCCCCACACCCCTCCCACCCCCTCCCCACGAGCGGCTCTGCACTCACATGTTAGGTAGTGGAGAGTCAGTGCAATGGCTGCAGTGAATGGGAAGAAAGGCAGGAGACCCAGCATCCACCTCCTCCAGGAGGAGCAGGATGACGCCTGYAGCCCCTCCACCTTTTGCTCCTCTGGCGTCATGGAGGGGCTCAGTGACCGGGTGGGCTCCCTCAGCTCCCCATCACCCTTTCACAAAGACACATGACTCAATTAAAGGCCTAGCATGCTTTGAAGAAATGCATATCACCCGCCACCTTTCATGTCTGTTTTAAACTAAAACCATCTTGCACTGAAATACTCAGAGTGGAGTGGTTTAATCTTTTAAATATCAATCTCATAAGTTATTCTGATATGAGGACTGTTTTCTGCTTTCACACCAAGTTTTAGCTCGATATTTGTCAAATTGAACAATTCATAGCCATTTAGGCTAAAGACACTTAGTTTTGGCAGCCATCTTGAAATGAGTTGACTCCAAAGGTCAGTGAGTTGTAGATTTTCATTCAGTGGTTTGTTTCTGAAAGTTTCATTGAAACTGTGTTCAATGGTTTATAAGATATTTTGCTAACAAACTAAAAAAGGGTATACAGTAATGAAGTAGATTAACTTTTGAAAGTAATTTTTTGAGGATCTGTAATTTTACTAAGTATTTTTTTTATATTAAATTTTATTCATATTTTGATATCTTAAAAATATATAA